ATTTTATTTTAATAAATAAGTTAAATAAATTATTACACCTTCATTAACTCGTGTTGTCTTAAATATAAAACATACAAATTCAAAATAAATTAATAACCTTAGTTTAAAACCCTACTGGGGAGTATTTCATATGAAATATTTTAAAATTCAAAATAAAATCTAGTTTTTGTATTTCGAATTTCAAGAAGTACTTGAAAGTATAATATTAGTAACCACATTTTCTTTTAAAAATACGAAATATATATATGATTTTATATGATCTTATCATGCAAAATCTTTATTATATTTTGTATTTTTAATATTTATATAAAAAAGATCGAATTGATTAGATCCTTCTTAAAATTCTGTAGCGAGTTTTTTTTGCACGAAATTTTACCCCGTGAAAATTGAACTTAGATTTTTTTTGACCGATTGTGTTAAATTTGAAAAATCTCTATTTTTGGCTATACAATTGATTAGCTTTAAAATAATTATGCAGGTTTCTAGGATCATATAACGGAGAACTTGTAGAAGAACATATTTTATTAATTTAAGAAGTAAAGGTACAAACGTTTAGTTGTGAAGAAAACGTGCCTTTTTTATGTGAACATTTCTTTAGGCGCGTTTAGCATTTTTTTTGTGGAGAGTCAATTAGATTGAACCGTCAGATTTCCGTTGTGTAACGCTCGGGTAAGGTCGCCTAGAGTCGACTAATTGAAGTGTTTTCGCATATGGATAAAAATATCTCAAAATCTAAAAATAAGACCTGCATTATAATCAAAGGAAATTTTTATCATTTCATCCTCTTTGTAATGCGCTATCAATAAAAATTGTGTATTGACGTTACGCCGTATTAGAGAGGAAAAAAATAGTGTCGAATACCAAATGATAACGAATTTCACGGTTAATATAAAATAAAATATCTCAGAAACTAAAAATCGGACCTGCATACTGTAAGTGAGGGACATGTTCAGCATTTGATCCTCTTTATATCATTTATAATTTATATTTCAAAATATTAATCTACCCCTGTTGACGTATTCACTTCTATTGTATGGTCTAAAACACACAACTAAGTTTTATGGGGAGAAATTTCGTGTAGAACCATTCCTCGGCGATTGACATTAAGAACTGTGACACACTGTATAAAATATCTCAACTTTCAGTTGAAAACAAACTATTAATTTACAAGACAATCCTGAAACCTATCTGGACCAATGGACTCGAACTGTGTGGACAGCAAAATTTTTTAACATCAAACTCATTCAAACCTTCCTCTTATGTATGCTCCCTTTTATGTAACCAATAAAACCATACACAATGACCTTTATATCTCATTTATACTTGACCTAATCCCAGACAAATTTTCCAAATTTCACCAGAACCTCACTTATCATCCTAATCCTGTAGAACAATCTCTATTAAGCTCCAGCCATTCCTACAATGCTCCTCGGAGGTTAAAACGGCAGTGGCCCCGCGACCTTTTGTAAATATGTATATATTGAAGTATTGGCAATGGCCAGATTCTTCACTCAAGTCCTGAGCGTTTGTTGCTCCAGTGCCCTCCACCGGTCTCCACTGGCTTCCAATACCAGTGAAGCGGCTGAGAGAGAAGCACTGGGATCTCCTGGGGTCCTATTTTGGCTTCCATATTTATCATGCATGTTACTTTCGTTTTTCATTCATCTATATATACATATTTTTTGCTATGGTTATTTTTATTTATTTTCCTTTATTATGTACATATTGTGTGAATGAATACTATAGCCAACAAATGTACAAATGCCCTTCAGTACGAATAATATAAAATACAATAAGAATATAATATTTTCTTAAACTGTGTAAGATATAAGTCAAATACAAAGAAACTCTTCACCGATGTCAGAAGCCTTTCCCTCTTAGAAGTTAGCTCAATATTCCCTTAGTGCACGTGGTCACGGCTGGCTGTTTGGGTTCGACTATTGTCCCGTATTGACAAAATCCTTCGAGACACTGTTACCCACTAGTTCCAATAGTCTCTTTCAATGCTCTTCCATTACAAAGAGTTACAAAGAGGCCTTCAAAGAAGTGATGTCGACAATGGGTCAACTACCTCTATGTCGATAACCCCTGTCACATTTCAATCTCACTGGATAATGTGCTACCTCGAAATATGTGTCAACATGCTAAGCTACGGACCTGTTTATAAAACGAAAAATCCAACAGGTATACTGAGTATATATGAGGAAGAGATGGCTGAGAATATTCGAGTGGGTTCTGAACGTATGCGTAGACTTTCGATTTTAATTTTGATGATGGGGGGGAGTGGAGGGAAGAAGGAACGATGGACAAAAAAAAAAAAAAATAAATAAATAAAAAAATAACGGGAATTTTTATTGTGAGTGAAATTTCAACATAATTATCATGAAACGGACAAATATGGAAAATTTAATTGATACAAACAACATAACTGAATATTTAAAATTAATTTCTTTAAATGTTTCTGTTGTTTTAAAGATTTTTATTACTTTACTACCTATACTGGATAAGGAAAGTATTGCGATCGGGTCAAATTTCCGATATGCGGTTTTTGACGGATCTATACGTTTCAGAGTCCTCTGAGTTCGAAAAGCACATTTTTAGCCATTGGTCTGTCTGTATATATGTCTCTCTGTGCCAAGACTCTTTTGGGAACTAGTGAACCGATTTTGTTACTTCTTTTTTTATTTTGTAGGGTTTTGACTACTGATGCCTGTGACACAAATTGGGTGCTCCATGAACAATAGCTGCTGCACAATAAATGAAAAACATGTTTTTCTATAGACTGTAGGGCGAAAACGGCTAACGATTTCAATGAAACTTTCCTATAATGTTCTAATAATTGTCCTTTCAATTTTCGTAAGTGGACTAAATTCCCCAAAAAATTCAGATAAAAAGCAATTAAGAAAAGAAAAATGTTTTCGGACCTAACTCGCTAAGTATATATTCTTTGTTAAAATTTATAATAAAACTTTTGAAATGTAATTAAATTAGCAACAAAACAATAAAAAACTAGATCGGAATCGAACCAGTATTAGCGATGATACAGCTTATTCTAGTTTCTACACATGTTTTAATATATCACTTTCCTACCTATACTAGGTAAGGAAAGTATTGCGATCAGGTCAAATTTTGCGGTTTTTGACGGATCTATACGTTTCAAAGTCCCTTAAGTTCGATGAACACATTTTTGGACTGTCTGTCTGTGCCAAGATTTTCTCGGATACTTGCGAACTGATTTTGTTGCTACAGAGCCACGGAGTTAAAAAAAAAAAAAACACCGTTTAGAAATTCCCTACAAAAATATATAAATTCGTTTATTTCGGACGACTATTAACGAAGTTATAACTATTTAATTTCCAATGTAAGATTACTGATGAGCTATGGAGCTCCACTAAACCATCAAATTCCTCTCGTATCCAACCTTTGCAATACAAAATCCTTCGTAAAATCCTCAATGCTCCTTACTTTTTCATAAATAAAATCATCCTTAAAGACCTTAATGTTCCATATGTTTCCGATTCGGCCCAATCCAGATACCTATCCTTCCATAATAAACTTGATAAACATACGAATCCTTATAGCTATGCTTCCTCTTCGATTCCTGATAACCCTCCGAGGCTTCTGAAAAGAAGTTGGCCTCGTGATCTCCTCATGTAGACAAATTATTAGAGTTCTACCAATGGGTAGTTTCTCAACAAGCGTATTTCATATGATTATATTCCTCTGTACAGATTTACTTGATGTATTTATACTAATACAGTTGTAAATATCATAATAAAAATTAAAAAAAAAAGGGAGATTACGGGTTCATATCCTGGTGTCAGAAAGGGCTGGATGAGAGAAAAAAGATAACTAACTGAAAGCAAGAAAATCTGTTGCCCGCATTTGTTTTAGTTTATTTAGGAAATCGTACTCAAATCTTCTCTTTGATCAATTTTTTTGTTTCTTCATGTACATATGTAAAGATACAAATAAATACTTTTCTGAAATAGGTAGGAAAGTCGTGTGAGTGGACGCACCAGATATACTTTTTTATTTTACTACAAAAATATCTAAAAAGAATATAACGTATTTTTTTTTTTTTTTTTTTGGATTAAACACATGGGACAGGGGAGACAGACCTTCATAACATTGGTATATTTCTAGAACTTTTCAGCTAAAAATGAATTATGTAAAAAATTGAAAAATATCTTTAATTTATTAAATCTATACAACCTAAAAAATACAATGTTTTTCACAGTCCGACTAGTTTCTTGCGCAAAATGAGATAAGAATACCAAATTGAGTGGTGATTGAATCACAAAATTTTAGGATATGTTAATATATATTATTATCTTTGAATATTAATGACAATTATATAAAAGTAATATATAAGTATAAATAAAATAGTTACATATTTATAACTAGGTCCTAGCCAGGCCGACTAGTCGACTTTTCTTAATCGATTTTAGTTTAAATATTTGATTCTTTCATGTAGCTTATTTATAAGTGATTTTATTTTTTTATTTTCACCCCAGTTTATTGGAGAGAGGAAAAGAAATTGTAATCCCATCAACATTTTTATTGACCCTGTAATGACCATTTACCAATTATTTCACACAAATTTAAATGGACATAATAACATACTAATAAAAGACATGGCCACAGCTGACATACCTCAGAACATGAGGAGGAGACTAAAAAGGCGTTGGATGAGAGATCTCCTTCCTTAGACAACCTAAGTAATTGGAACAAGTTAGGGAAGAGGTACTGCTGAGTACTTTCCTTCCCCATGCCTGTCATGTCATTATTTCATGTATCGCCATCACATTTGCTGATTGTCAACAAAAAGTTGACATGTGCAAATACATTATTATAGTAAAAAAAAAATACTATAATGAAATTATGTTGATTTGATACTGGAAAAAGTTTTGCATTACATTTTTGAATGTTTGTTTTGGATACAAAAAAGGGAATTATAAAATAAATTTTCTAACAATTTTTATTATTTTATTTTTCAGAAAGCAGATCTAATACGCCTCAGAAGACAATATCAGTTTTAGATGTTCCAGAAAAAGACGCTGAGATTGGAAAATGTGATAATAGAAGGTAAATTATTTATATATTATAGTCATAACTTATTTATAGTTTAAAATAATAGTTTAATAAGTCATTTATTAAATTAAAACCCTGTCAAAATTTTTATATACATTAACTCTATGTATAAATAATTTTCAAGTCGCATTGAAAACATTTTACGTTAATTATTTATAGAGATTTTAGAAAAGGATATATTTAAAAAATAAGGTTGTATAAGGATATATTTAAGATAATAATGGTTTTTATTTTTTGTGATTAATTGTACATATTACATATTATTGAATGTTAGCATAGGAAGTAAATAGAGTTAGTATTTAATAGAAAACTATTCATTTATTTTTTAAAGCTTTAAAAATAAAAACATCCGAAATTTAGTTTTCTTACTTAGTAGCGATCGAAAAGTAAAACTATATAGTACACAAATCTATCATAATTTATTTTAATAGTCTTATTTATCTTAAGTTTGTCTACCTCCAGATTAAAAACGCCCGTATTTCAAGAATTTTTGTAAATAAAATATTTTTAGGTTACAATGAGATGAAGCTATTTACGAAGTTTGCGAAGGCGGATGTTAATAATCTGATAAAAATGCGTCTGTGCCACGGACTATGTGTACTTTTCGAGTTATTCAAAAATCTTGAATTCCTTCGTCAAAATAAATGTTAATTCGATTAGTTGGGACGGCACTATATCATATGGTTTGATACCTCCCACTTTTATTCAAGTCCTATTATACAATTAGGAATCAAAATTACGATTCGTGCATTCTACGTGATATTCCCTTTCTATTGATACCTCATTCGACAAAATCGATCACTCCTGAGGGTCGGAAAAGTGTAAATATTCGTAAATAATATATAAGAATTAATTAATTTTTTTTATTATTTCTTTATGACATTTACAACTGCATTACATAAATACATCAAGTAAATTTGGACATAATTGATATAATGACATGAATACACTTGCTGAGTAACTACCCAATGGTAGCACTCTAATGATATGACTACATTAGGAGATCACGGGGCCATCTTCTTTCCAGACGCCTCAGAGGGTTATCAGGAATTGAAGAGGAAGCAAGGTTAGAAACGAGAGGGTTGGGATGATTCTGAAGTTTATTATGGAAGGATAGGTATCTGGATTGAGCCAGATCTGAAACATAAGGAACATTAAGATCTTTATGGATAATTTTATTAGTGACAAAGTAAGGAGCATTGAGGATTTTACGAAGGATTTTGGATTGTAAGGATTGGATGCGAGAGGAATTCGATGGTTTAGTGGAGCCCCATAGCTCAACTCCGTAAGTCCAAATAGGTCTTATTATAGTCAAGTATATGAGTCTTTTGTAATTAATGGGAAGTTTAGAGCGTTTGTCCAGTAAGTGCTGAAGTAATCGGAAACGTCGAGCGGTTTCTTGTCGTTTCAGTCTAGTATGAGGATTCCAAGTTAGTCGTTTGTCCAGGCGGAGTCCTAGGTATCGGATTTGGTCAACAGGGATAAGTGGAGTATTGTTAAAGGAAACTGTAGGACAGGAAGTCGTTGGTTTACGACAATTAATTCTAATACTAGATTAATGAGTATCGCACAAAATGTAACGGAGACCGAAGCAAGCTCACAGAGGTACCCCACTTGTAGTTTATGGAGTATTAAAAAAAAAAAGGATATTTAATATGACTTTATTTTTTGTTTTGTTTTTCCACTTTTAAATTAATATGTAGACGGTGTCTTTGTGAATTCGGTGCTTTAAGTTTATTAATCAAATTAAATAACTTTGAAGGTTACCTTTTTTTACCTTATTTGTATTCACTGCTTAACTTTATTTGTGCAAGCTCTCCTACGACTCCTCAATATTAAACTGTTCTCACAATGTTTCCAATCTCTTTGTTTATAAGAAGCTTATTGCTTGGAAGGCGTTTGTCAGTCCCAGCTGTGGAATGAGTCAATATTTGATTTTGGGAACAATATTTGCTATTCGAATGTGCTAGCATGTTGTGTCAAATTACAGAGTGGAAAATGTAAAACTTGCAACGGATAATAATTTTATTTTTGCAGAATAAACATAACTAAATAATTAATAAATTATTTATATGAAGTAATACTTTTAGAATGGCCTAAGTTAGCAAATAAAATATCTTTGGATTTTGTTTCCGTTTAATAATGTTATCATCTGTTCCGAAATAATAATTTACAAAAAGCTTCAGAAGTAATTGAAATGACTTCAGAAGTAAGTTGAAATCTATGTTGAAATATATATATATATATATATATATATATATATATATATATATATATATATATATATATACACTCGTACATAGTCGCAGACTTTCGATTTTGATTAGAGGAGCGATGGACCAAAAAAAAAAGTTGTATTCATGAGTAAAAATTCAACATAACTATTGTGAAACGAACTAATATACACTGACAGGCAAAAAATTCCACCCACTTGATTTTTTCATGTTTTCATCTAAAAATATTTCTGCTTCGGATTGGTCTATTGTTTTTTTAATTTATTACTTGCTTATTTATTCATCCGAAAAAATGTGTTTTTCGGACTCAGAAGGCTCTGAAATGTTTAGATCCGTCGAAAGCCGCATGTCGGAAATTTGACCCGATTCCAATACTTTCCTTACCTAGTATAGTTAGGAAAGTAAAAATAAAAAAGGTCATCTGCAATCAAATAAAAGTGAATTAGATATTGACGTCGTTATGTAGGATTCTGTTGATATAATGAATGAAGCATCGACTATTGTTCGGAGGTATTTAGACTGTAAGGATGGAATGTTAAAAAATATAGCTGTCCCCTACAATTCTAGTCCGTTGATCATTAATTTGTTTAGATTTTTTATTCAGTAGTATATATAGCTGACCATATCGTAGGTTAAGTTCTTGTTTTATAAGTCTAGTATGTATGTTCCACGAGCTGTTATAAAGTATAGTAGTTTAAGACGAAGGTTTATTGGAATTGTGTCTAACTGGTTTCTGCGAATCTACCAGGAAAGTGTCTATTGAATATTTTTCTGGGAATTAATAATGATTTGAAGAAGTTTCAGTTATTACAGAGTTCAAGGAATGGTGGCAAGATTGAGATAATCCGAGATTCTACAAAGCTTATTTAATGATAACCACGACTTTATATAATATCTATAGCTTCGACGGTACCATTGATAATATATATGATTTACAGAAGTTTATATCTTATATCTTATTGATCACAATATTGGGATTTTATAATCAAACTTTGACCTACCAATTGATACAACAATTCACTTCTTTTCAATATTTTTACTTTCACGTCCCTATAAATGTAATATGTAATAATAATAATAATAATAATAATAAAAGGCTTAGCGAACCCGAAGGTTCGATGCCGACACCACCAATCACTTATTACACACCTCCCTTCACCGTTCGCCGTCCAAACCCAGTCCCTTCAGATCGGCTTTAATGCAATCTTTCCACCTTCGCTTCGGTCTACCCCTCGGACGCTTACCATTGGTGTTTGGTGAACTAAAGATATGTGAGTAGGGCGTTCAATCCTACGTCACACCCTCCAGCAAGTCTGGTGGGCCCCTACCTCCAGCAAGTCTGGAGGTCTCCTGCCTCCAGCAAGTCCGGGGGGCCCCTCTCATTGTTGGTCAGCGAGTCCATCGGACTTAGCCGGGTGGAACTTCCAAGGAATTTCCACCGACCATCCCCACATCCGCCACCCGTGGGACGCTCCCCAGACGCGGTAATGAGCCCGCGCGAGGATAAATGTAATATGTAGTAAGGAAAATTATAGAATAATCATCGAATCTAAGTTTTCAACAGGAATACATGTTTTACGGTCATCTGAGTCCAAATAACCAAGTCAATTGATCTGTGTGTATGAGATCAGTCTAGCTCAAAAACGAAAAGTACCCAACTGACATTGGCTAACCGGAAGTGTCACTTGATAATGAGCCTACCTGAAAAATTAAATGTCGTACGAAACTGAATAAGCTCACTTTTCGATTAGTGTCACTGATTATTTAAATACAACTTATGGAGACCGATTGGTTGGTCGAAACGGACCTGTTAAATGGCCACCACGATCTCCGGATTTAACACCATTAGATTATTTTGTGTGGGGCTGGATGAAGTCTATGGTTTATTCTGCGATAGTTGGCAAGCAAGAAGAGCTAAGAAATATGTCGGATATACATTTTATACTTTAATTCACCCGGGACTGCTGTACAAACTCCGAAAATTCCTACCATCTACCTACTTCCTCATTATCCGTTCCTACCTTACTGATAGATACTTTAAAGTAAATCACATCAATGTCTATACATATCGTTTTTTCCAGTCTGCAGGTGTTCCTCAAGGTAGCATCCTAGGTCCTATCCTTTACACAGTTTATACAGCTGACATCCCAACCCATCCCAACACTGTCATCACCACATATGCTGATGACACATGTATCCTATCAGTTAATAACGACCCATCTATTGCATCTCAAACCCTTCAATCCCACATCACAAGAATGGTGTCAGAACTGGAGAATTAAATTAAATTCCAATAAATCCCATCAAATTACCTTCACCCTTCGTCCTAAACCAATGACTTCCTGTCCCTCAGTATCCTTTAACAACACCTCAATTATTCCTGTTGAACAAATCCGTTACCTAGGACTCCATCTGGAAAACGTCTAACTTGGAATCCTCATACCAGACTGAAACGACAAAAGACAGCTCGACGTTTCCGACTTCTCCAGCACTTATTATAATTATAATATTAAAATTATAAAAGACTGATTTACATGACTATAATAAGGCTTATTTGGACTTACGGAGTTGAGCTACGGGGCTCCACCAAACCTTCAAATTCCTCTCGCATACAATCCTTACAATCCAAAATCCTTCGTAAAATCCTCAATGCTCCTTACTTTGTTACAAATAAAATTATCCATAATGACCTTAATGTTCCTTATCTCTCAGATTTGGCCCAACCAGATATCTGTCCTTCCATAATAAACTTCATAACCA